CAAGAAATTACAAGAGTATATGATACAAGAAATTATAAGAGTATATGAAAATTGTTACATATGATTAATATGAATTATAATTAATGTAGAATGAAATAATATAAAAATAAAATAAAATATAATAAAATAATATAAAAATATAATAAAATATAATGAAAATAAAATAAAATAGTATGAAATAAAAATGAAATAATATGAAATATAATAAAAATAAAATGAAATATAATAAAAATAATATGAATAAAATATGAATAATATAAAATAAATATAGATATAATTTACAAATCACATATAAATTAATTATTCAATTAAAATAAACTATAAGAAGTTATGTGATATGTTAAAATTCATATCACAACAATATTTATTTATATCTAGAATTTTTTTAACTTTTTGAATTCATGGTACTTCTATACAAAGAAGATAATCAATTCTTTTATCATCAATAATTACAACATTACCTATTATTGTAATCAATTTATTTTTATATTTTATCAATATTTATACATTTTATATTCTCCAATTAATTTTATTATATGATCAAAATTATGTGTAAGGACAATATTTGGTGTATTTTCAAAATTCCATTCTAATACATTATTTAATACTTTATTTATAATATTACACATAGATAATGTATCAAGTTTCTCTTTTAAAATATCAATATTTTTAATTTTGTACTATATATATTTAACTGAATTAACTTACTTATTTTCTAAAAGGAATTTATAATTTTATTTCACATTGTTGAAGATAATAATTTTAATAGTTGGTCATCTGATTTTGAAAAAAACTTGTCAAAAGTAATTACAATTATTAGTAAATTGATTTTCTTATTTTGTTTGAATTTTATAATTGATAATCTGTATAAAATTACTGATTTATCTACTATTAATATTTGTTTTTTTTCAGATTCATATTATATATTATCTTTTTCATTCATTGAAAATTTGAAATACTAGCAGAATTGAGATAAACTTTGAACTTGGTAATAAAAGATAAAAAATTCAGTTTAAAGAAATACAAATATCTTCACATATAGTGGACCAAATTAAATGAATTTGATATAATTAGAAAAATCTAGTTAATATACATCTAATAATATCAAAATTATTGAATTTGATTTACTAAATATGAAGGTATCACATCTTAAAAACACTATACAAAATAATTTAAAATTTTTTTATTATTCTGCAAAGAAAATTGATTTTTGCAAATATTTTTGTATTCAATAAATACATCTAATATCAAAATTATTAAATTTAACTAACTAGATATAAAGATATTACATCTCAAAACAATGTACAAAATTGTAAAAAATTTTGTACAATTTTATATATTATATTTGAACATGATATCTCTATATCTAGTTAATCAAATTCAATAATTTTGATATATCTTAACTAGATTTTTCTAATAATATCAAATTCATTTAATTTGATCTATTAAATACAAAGATATTTGCAAAAATCAATTTTCTTTGCAGAATAATAAAGAAATTTTATATAATTTTGAATGATTTTATATGATGTTTTTAAGACGTGATATCTCTGCATCTAGTGAATCAAATTCAATGATTTTGATACTAATAGATGTGTCTTGACTAAATCTTTTTAATGGTATTAAATTCATTTAATTTGGTCTACTATATGTAAAGATATTTGTATTTCTTTAAACTGAATTTTTTCTTTAACTTTCATTACCAGATTCAAAGTTTATTACAGTTCTGTTAGTATTTCAAATTTTTGATATTATAATCATCATCACTAAAAATAGATTCAAGTGATACAAAACCTATTCTATTTGATTTGATTTTAACTATATGATCATCAATTGATAAATTTTTAAACTGATTATTTAGCTAATTTATCATATTTCAGATTTTATTTATAATATTTCAATACTTATTATATCTTTTTTCAATTCTATTTATTTTAGCTATTTATTTTCATATATAATCAAATAATAAAGAAAGTATATTATTCAGATCACCATACCAATTAGAATCTTGTTCTCTTTCAATATCATTCATAAAATTATTTATATAATATTTATCTCTTCTATACTTATGATCAAATAATAATGTTAGTGGCTGATTTATTAATTGAGTAGATTAAATTTTAGAATATTGATTCATTTTTGTATTAAAATCAACTTTCAATTTTTCTATTTTAGCTTTGTGTTCAGTTTGCTATTTTTTTAGTAATTCTTGTTATTTATTAAATTTATCTTGAAGCATTTTTTGAAAATTCTAAGTTGATAGTTGTAAATAAAGATGATTGCTAAAATAATATCATTTAATTAAATAATTTGCTGAATTAAATCTGAAATTATTTTGACTTATTTTATTAATAGCTAAAATTATTTTCCAAAATTATTTGGATTTTACAAATCAAAACAAGCATTTTTAGATGATTTTTAAGTATTCATTAATATAAGCAACATAGCAAAACTGAATTATTTGCTGAAATATTATTTTTTCCAAAAATAATTTAGAAGACCATTTTTAGTTGTAAAACTATATTTGAAGATGCTGTAGATTTTGAAAATATTAGTTTTGGTTTATTAAATTTAATATTATTTATTTTCATTCTGATTATTCTAATTAATTCAATTTTAGCAAGTTTTTTAGATAACTTATTAAAAGTCATATTTTTATCTATATTTTCAGCTTTTTCTAATCATTTAGATTCTAGTTCATCAAGAAATTTTCTTCATAACTCTTTGTCTTTATAATCTCTTTTAGTTCTTTAGATTTTATTAGCAAATTCTTTTATAGTATCATCTTCTTGTTAATATTTTATATTGTAATGCACATATTTCTTTTTTGATTGTAGAAGATTTTTTCTTTAGCAATCATATAGCTTGATCAAATTTTATTCCAATTACAATAATTGAATTACTATTATTAGTATTAGGTACATTATTAGTTGGTCATCTATCTGCAATATTTTAATTTTCATTCTATAAATTATGAGTAAAGATAGTGCAGCAAGTATATGATGCAAGTATGTGATGCTTATTTGTCACCTATTACAACATGTTACAATTCCAAAATTTTATAAGCTACAACTAGTTGTAATTAGATAATGTTTTATTTGTCATCATATTACAACAGTTACTGCATTATCTTTAATTATAAGTTGCTCTTAAAAGAATAATATCTGTATCAATATGATTATTTGCTTCTTAAAGTGCTTGTGTATCCAATTATATTATAGTACATTCAGTTATTAATTATATTATATCTTGTATTGTATTATCAAGTAAGTTATATAATTTGAAATTTTGTTTAATAATAATATTTTTATTATATCATTCTAATAATTGTCCTTTTATATATCCATGTAATAATCCTTTTACATGATTTCTTTCTGTTAGGGAATCATCTACTTCATCTGTAATATCTATTTCTTTTCCTTCTATTTCTGTTTTAAATTGTACAAGAAATTCATGTATATCTTCTTTATCTGAATATATTGATAATTATTAATTATATTTATTTAATTTGGAGAATTATTTTGTAGCAATAAAATTTGTACTTGTAATTGTTCAGTATTTTTGGTTCTATTTTTCCATTTCTCTCATTTAAAATCAAGTTGTATATCACATAATAATAAATTATTTTTGTATCTATTTACTTTGATGTAATATTATTGTAATTCTAAAAAATACTGTTGACATATATTTCTTTTATTGTTATATATTATTGTCATCATGTATTTTATTTTTTTTAATTATTTTCAATATGAATTTGATTATATTTTTTCTTTTATTAAAACAAAAATTTAACAATTATATATTTTTCTTGAAAATGATATTATACAAACTTCTTTTGATAAAAAATTTAATTCTTGTATTCTTAAATACAATTATATTATACTTATATTTTTCAAGTTGCATTCACAAAATTTTTTATTATATTCTTTGTTCTTTTCAAATTAACTCAAATTTTTGATTTTCATTTTCTTAAATTAATTATAATATTCTTGAATTAACCAATCCTTCAAATAAGCTTTTTCAAGAATGGACATTTTATTGCAATTTTGATTTAAATATTATTAAATATAAAATCTTAATGAATTTCGGCAAAAAATAGCATTACAACTTTCACTTTTAAGTGAAATAGCTTTTAATTAGATTTGGTTACCAATTTCTCCTTGTGCTATAAAATGTAATTTTTCTGTTTATAATAATATTTTGCAAGATAATTTAAGCATTGAATCATTAAAATGCTTACTATGATATATATTTTAAATTTAAATTCCAAAACTTGTTCATAATTTTAAGTATTATCCAAAATAATTTTGTTATCCAAAATAATTTTCCGGGTTCCTGATATAATAGCGTTGGCAGAAACTTAGAGGTGCATTCTATTCTGAGTGATGATAATTTGGCAAATTCAATTGAACAATTTTATTTAGCCAAATGTGCAAGAAATATAAGGGTATTCCTTTTGTTTCTATCTATGTTGGCTTAATTCATATTTTTTCAAGCAGGGGAGGCGTTTACAGACGACGCAGACGCTATTTGCTGGAGATATGAAACTCAAACCCGTTTCTACAGACAGTTAATAGAATAGTGGCGTTTGGATTGTCGAACTTCTACAAGGGAAGAACTACCAAATTTGAGACAATACAATTTCTTGTTTGCACAAGAGATCAAGGGAAGCAAATGGAGGAGATCAGGAAAGCAGGTTTATTATTATTTATGTTGCCATTGTTTTATCGTGATGTACCTGAAAATGAGAATATACCAGAGAAAGCAGATGAACATGACGCTTCTATGTTAGTACTGCTGTTTATAGTCGAATTTCGGAAGCTTTATCATTATATTTTTTATATTTAAAGTCAGATTATAATGCCAACAAATAAAAAAATGTGAACTTTCATAATTACAAAGATTTCCAGAACCTTGCCTCCAAAATTGTTATTCCATTATGTTATTGTATCAAAATTAGATAAATTAAAAGTAAAAAAAATTTCAAGTTTTTGGAATATTCATTCAAAATGTAACCCTTGAAATATCTCTTCCAAACGTTCATGGATATCTTGTCGTTTCTCATTTCGCCAAAACCAACTACCCTTCTCTTCTCTATCATCAATAATCTTTTGAACACTACATTCGGGTGGCGCAACCGGGGAAACAACAACTTTTTCCAGCCATTTTTTCTTTAATTCATACTCTTCTTTTAATATTAATTCATCTGCCCAGCTGGGAAATGCCGACAAGCATTGTCTAGTGATGAGTTGCAGGACACCTAGAATATGTTCGGTAAACCAAATTAAGGCGACTGTCACAAGAACCGCCGATGAGGATGTGAATGCGTTGGAGTCCGGATGATACAAGTATACGAATGATGGATTTGTAATTGAGGATAGCCACGTAATAAGTGCCTACGGATTTATAAATCATTATTAATTTTGTTATTGCCATGGTGTTGTATTCTGATGTTGAATTATAATCTTACCAGATTATCCAACCAAGGACCAATCGATTCTGCTCGTGAAGGAATGGGTCGACGCGTATGAACACATAATTTGATTGCATCGGATCTAAGCTCAACCCAATTATTTAAAAGTGCAAGTACTGGAGTTAAAGGCCACACAACAGAGAACAGACTGACATATCCATACTATTATTACCAATATAATCAAAGCTTAATTAGAAATCATACTACTGATAATAATGATCATACAATATTTATTTAATAATACCTGAGTGACCATCTCGGCATAGTCTTCATATATATCATAAACTGGCAATAAAACCTCTTTTCGTACTCTTCTTAAGAATGCCTCTTCGTCCTCACCTTTGGCATCTACAGAAAGACTATTCTGACGATGCAATATTTTACTTCCAGTAGTGATTGTTTTATGAACACCTTTTGCTAATCCACGCGTCATGTACGGCAAGATTAATTCCATGAATAAACTCACTCCTTGTCCCGTAAGTATAAAATATTTCAACTCATTTTTAAGTCTTTCTGGTCCGACTGGTTTTAAGGTAAGTGATAATCCCAATGCATCAAATATACTCTGAAAGAATTCACCGATTTCCGCGTTGAATGGGATATGAATCCATCCGATAAAAAAGATTGATAGATAACCCACCAGGAAATTCGTTACGAAAATCTTTTGTGTCAGATTAAATTCATAATTGGATTCTGTCTCGTTGTTCTCGTATTCGTTCAGGCGTCGGGCAATCTTTATATAGACGATGTTTAGTCCAGGGACCAATGCGCAATAGAGAATCGTCGGTAGATAAATCTGTTGGTTTTATATTAATTAAGGGTAGATGAGTAAATTATTGATATTTTTACTATGTCACCCGTTACAATATTTACTTACCACTTGTTCACGAAATGGTCCACTGTAATACTCCGAGATTATTAGTTCAAGAACGATATATAACAATAGAACAGATGCAAGAATCAGACTGAATGCCATAATAACAGGAGCCGCAATAATTCTCCGTAACCATCTCTTCCATAATGGAAAGTAAGGTTCCAGTTCTCCTGTAATATGATTCACTACATAGGATTCTTGCTGAAATGCAGGTCGCCGTTGTTCAACTCGCGAAAAATTACGGACACCCCACCAAATAGATAATTCACGTTCTTTTCTACGCCAGAACTCCGTAAAGACAGTCGACCAGATCACAATAAATACTGCATATAGAATAGAGTAATCGGATAAAAAGAAGTATGTAAATAGTCCAACGATCGTCGGTGCAATGAGCCATAGACAATAATATTGAAGGAATGCAAAATAAAATGCAATCTAAATGATGATATCGAGAATTAGTTAGAGAATAATTTGAAATTAATGAATACCATTTTGATCTTTAACATGCCTTTTCACCAAAGTGGCTTCTCAATAGCATTAGATCAGTTTTATCAATCACCCATTTCGTTGACCATGATTTTATCCACTTCTATTAAAAGTTAATAAAATAATCTTTTTTTAAATGAAAATGAAAATTAGAATTCGAACAAAAAAAAGCGACTGTTAATACTGCTTTTCGCCTACCCGATTATACTCTTTATTATGAATAGGCAATAAACTGTTCACCATTTTGAATTCACCTAATCCCGGATTAATCCCTGCACCATTTTCCGTTTTAGATCTTGTAATAACATCATACACTAGTCGTAATCGTTCTCCTTCAGTTAAAAGAACACTGCTCCCTGAATCGTGATCATCCTCTATATCTCGAATACGCACCCCAGTTAGCCAATCGTGGACTCTGAAAAGAATAGCAAATATCGAATTTGAATGAATTAGAAAAAAACAGCCAAATATGCATTGGCCATATTAAAGATGCATCATGATTGGGTGTTATCAAATAAATTATTATAATTGTCTTAGGTTAGGGTCAGGGTTATAGCATTTCACAAATTAGGAATATTTACCTCGACCGATAAATCTCTTGTTTGAGTCTTTCAGCGGAGCAAAGAACAAATATAAATATCATGTCTTCTTTACTCCGGCGCACTTCACATTCGAGCCCTGCTTTCTCTAGGTTGGCTATTACTAACTTGCAAGTGTTAACCAACGTGGTCTTAAACGCTTCCCTGCCTTTAGAAGGAATTTTGGAATCGACTACTAGGACATAGTCTGCAAATGCTTCCTTAGAACCCTCTTGGCTTAACTGATGAAAAATGAGTTTTCGTGTCTTTGATAAAAGAGAAATTTTTTCAGACATTGTTGCTAATCGCTCATTCCTTGTTTCCTGGGAATTTTCTCTAGCATTCACAGATAATTTAAATCAAAAAGTTCGATCAATTCGATCAATTAATTCGATGCTCAATACTCATAATTGCGTATCCTCGCATTTTTTTATGAAGAGAATTAACTCGATTAAGTAAATATATAATATATATAGCATAAATCCATAAATCGTTAACATTGTGCACCAAATATTGGATCCAAGCATATACGTAGCGGTAGTAGAAACAAATCTTTTATTTAAACAATACAAAGCTAGTTTTATTTCTTTCTAAAACTTGTGACAAAAAAGTTATATCATATTCAGCTAAGGAAAACGCCCAGGTACATGCATACATCAAAATGCTTTTTTTTTTTGTGGTGTGCATTAAACTAAAATTGCACTTTGGAGCTGTTGAAGTCAATAATAATAAGTAGTAAATTATGTTGTATAAATATCTTTATTATTATAACGTTCTTTTTACAAGCAGTAATTCTAATTATAATAATATAAAACCATCCCAAGCAAAAGTTTTTTTTTGAGCCTTTCCTGAGCAGCAAAATTTAGCCGATTGGTTTAGCAACTCCATCGATAATACCATCAGTTGCTAATGCTTCAGTTTTATCATTCAAGATGTGTAAAATAATGCGAAGTAGCACATCATTTGCTTTCCGAAATCAGATTCAACAATCCGTTCATTAGATGATGGAAAGTCACTGAGTACAGTAGTTAAAACTGAGAGAGATTATTCTGGTTGGTGATTTTGATCAAGCTTCACTTGTATTTGATTAACACAAATCTCTTATTATCAAGGATCATTACACATTTCACGATTTCTTTTTTGTTGTATATTTAATCCATGGTGCAAATTATCACGGGACATTCCAAATAGAGAGGCAATTACAGTCAAACCTCTCTATAACGGCTGCATTGGATTGCCACTTTTTAACCGTTATAGAGTCACATCACTATATACAGTCAAACCTCTATAACGGATTGTCACTTCTCAGCTCTTATAGAGTCACATCACTATATACTATATAGCAATCTACAGAATTTCTCACTGAAAATCCAGTGAAGATTAGCATAGGCAATAATTATTAACAAATATTAAAGATCTGTTCAATCTCATCCTTCCACATTTTATCAAAGAAAATTTCATATTCACTTTATTGTCAAATCAATTTACAGAAGTAAAAAACAGCTCTAATTGTCTTTGCTTATATTATTTGAATCGATAAGATTGGATGGTATTTGCAATTTTTCTTATGATACTAATGTTTGCAGAAGAGATTCCAATTGTACTTTCTTGCTGATAAAGATAGGTAAGATTATGTGAAAAAATATCCAGAGTCTCAGTAATAGTGATAGGGGATTTATATGATATCAGAAAATGAGGTATATCATCGGGATCTTTAACTTCTCTAGATGATTCGACAATATGCTGTAAAATTTCTTCATTAAATAAAAGTAATTAATCAATTTTAACATTATTACTCCTAATGTAATTTAGTAAAAGAAAATAAATCAATAATTATATAATATTATATGAAAATTAGCATAAAAAATATGATATCAACAGTATTCATTGAATTATTATAATTAAGATTATTAATTAACTGGACAAGCTCATTCTCAATCTTATATTGTTCTTGCTCAAGAGCTTCAATAGCTATTGTAACTTCATTTTGAATAAACTCATTAGGAAAAAGAATATTAGTTTTATTCCAATAATTTATTATTATTTTTTGAGATACCTGAGCCCAGACATTAGCAGTTACATGAATAGCATTCAAAATTGTAAATTTTGTAAGCAGTTTGTCTTTGTTTATATAGTTTCAAAAAGTTAAAAATATTATTTCTTTTTTTTAAAAATAATCTTTTAATAAAAAAATCTTGTATTGCATCATAAACAATTATATAAGCTTGGATAAAAATTTTTTTGTATTGATATTTGAAAGAATTTATAATGCTTGTATTATATAGTTGCAAGTATATAATTATATTAGAAAAAAAATTTTATTTAGATATTAATCAAATAATATCAATAATATAAATAGGTGTGTTGTTAATCAAAAAAATAATACTTTGATTCTGTTTTTGCATTTTTTTATTAAGCTTTTTAAGAATATTGTTATATATTTTTCACTAATTAGGCAATTAGTTAATAAACACGAACAAGAGTTGAGAGAGATAATTAAACAAATATAAGAATAATATAGAAATAATATCTAAGTCCTATACCAATTTCTACTAAAATTGTTATAGTTTGAAAGGGGAAAAGAATAAAATAATAGTATTTTAATTAAGTATAGTATTCTGAATAACTGTACTAACTAATTAATTTATGAATTATTTAATTAAAGTAACTAATAGTTTAACTAATTAGTTAAAATAACAAAAATAACAAAAGTAACATAGACTCTTTCACTTCATTCTTCTTACAAGAAAGAGATTATGATATTTTTAGTTGAGAAATTCCAAATAATATAATTATAACAAAAATATCAAAAGATTAATCTATAACAAAATATCAATTCAATAATTCAATATCAATATTTTTACAAAATTTGAAGTGTACAGTTGAAAGAGAAAAGCAAATTGTTTAAGTGTTTAAAAGATATTTGTTTTATTATATTATTTATTCTCAAGTTCTGATATGTTAAGTTAAAGCTCAACTACAACTCATATTTATACATTTTCTTCAAAATACAAATATAATATTAAAAAAAAGAAAAAAGATATAAAAGATAATTATACTAATTAAAAATAGAATTCTGATTTACTAAATATGAAAAGTAGAGAAATAAAGGAGAAAAAGTATAAATCTCAAAGAATTTTGATTGATTAAATTATATTTACTCAGAATAAATAAGTATAAAAGTATAAAAAGTATAAAAAATATAAGAGTACAAAATAGAAAAAGTATAAAAATATAAAAAGTATAAGAATATGAAGTAGAAAAAGTATAAAAAGTATAGGAATACAAGATAAAAAAAGTATAAAAAGTATAGAAGTACAAAGTAGAAAAATAAAAGTATACAAATACTATAATTAATAATATATAAGAAAATTGTGAAATGTTCTAAGTTCTTTACATGATTTTTATAATTTCATGAAATATTACAAATTATGAAATTAATAAATTTTATAATATTTGCATTCTTTCTGAAAAGATTAAACTTTTACAAAATTATTGTGTAAAGTTTTTGATTTCTTGATTTCTCATTTGATATATTTTTGTTAATGTTAATTTTAAGTCAAAATTCTTCTAATCTATTTCTTCTTCAGAAGAAAATATTTGATAAGTTTTCCTAGTAATCATATAATAATAGTCATAAGATTGAAGTCTAAGTTCTTTATTAATTTTTCTTTTGATCACTGATAATTGTCTTTAATATTGTGCTAAAATGTTGGTCAATAATTGTTCAACTTTCAGATATTGCTTCAACATTTCACTATTACTCATTTGTTTTTTTAAAGTCTTTTCAAGTTGTTTTTAATTGTACTGGTCATTTATTTTCAGTTGGAGAACTTATGATATCCTCTTCTTAATGAGTTAAACTTGTCATTGAATTCATATCCAAGATGAAATTAAATCCAGTTTCTTCTACAGTTTGTAATAAATTGATTTTAGATATAACATCTAGATTTACAGCTGGTAAATTCACAAAAAGATTATAATCTTCAATTGAGTTAAAGGTTAATTCTATTAAAGAAATTGAATGAGTTTGCTTGAGGTTGTTATATAAAATTATACCTATTTCTGAGATAAAGATACTTTCTTGTTGTTAATTGATAAGTAGATGAATTATAAGTTGAATAAGTAAAGATCGCATAGTGTTATCAATTCAATTTGGTATTTAAGATATAATATATATGCATTAATCTAAAAAGAAAAATGATCAGTGAATAAAATTTTTCAAACCAAAATTCAAAAAGTAAAATTTAAAATAATATAACAAATCGTTAAAAACTTTGAGAAAAAATAAATGGATTATTTATAATGATTAAATGTGTTACAACACAATTTAAAAGAATTCTATCTAAGAAGGAATTTGTAAAGAATTGATATATTCTATTACTACTTCAAGTTCAAATAAAGTTTGTCTTTCGTGATATAATTTTAATTGTGCATTATTGAATGTTTTCTTGAGTAATTGTTCTTGTTGGTTTCACAATTTATATGCTCTATTCTAATAGCTCTCATGAATATAATATCATTTTTCTTTTTATTGTGACTTGAATTTATTTCCATGTTCAACATGTCATTTTATATTATAAATTAGAACTTTATCTCCAATTTCAAACTGTTTTATCTTTCATATTTTTCTATTATGTCTTTTCTTGCGAGAAATTTATATTTTATTTGGCATCATTAATTCGTTCAGGTAAATAATTAATAAGTATAAATGTTTTATCTAATAGTTGTTCTTTGATTATAATTTCTTTTTTAAGTGTTGTTTCAAATTGTAATTCTATTAGTAATCTTGCTTTTTTCATATATTAAGAAAAATGGTTCATGTCTTTTAGTATTATTTTATAATATTTTATAGACAAATAATGCTGCAGAAATATAATTGTCTCATTCTTCTTTTAAATTAATAGTAAGTTTTTGTAATATTATTGATAAGATTTTGTTGAATTATTCTACAATTCCATTTGTTTGTGGATAATATGACAATGAATATTTGTGTTGTATTTTAAATTTATCAATAAGTTCTTTTATTATTTGTGCTGTAAATTCTATTCCTTGATCTGATTGTAGTATTTTTAAACATTTATGTCAACAGATAATTTCTTCAAAAATAAATTTCGCAACATTAATAGCTTCTTTATTAGATATCACTTTTGCTTCAAGTCATTTCATTAGATAGTCTATTGCTATAACAATATATCAATTTTCTTGTTGAGTTTATTTGCATGATCCAATTAGATCAATTATAATATGATTAAATAGTTGTCCAACCTTGATGGGATATAAGAATTCTTTGAAT